AAAATGCTCAGGAAAAAAACAGAGGAAAAGAAGCCTAGTGCAGTATATCCAAATATTAAATGACATATTCCAAACAGATTGCTGCTCACCATAAATAGAGCTCAAGGGACCTGGCTCTAAGTCTAATAACCAACATGCATAAACACTGGGCACAACCCTTGTTGTAGAAGGAGACAGTTGGAGTAGCTTTCAGGACTTCAGAAAAATGTATTAGCAAATAAACAATAAAAACAATTAAAACATTTTAAAATAAATAGTTAAAATGTTCAATTTAATACTCAATATACAGTCCACAGGTTCTCCTCCTTCCAAGACGCAATTCGCCCACTCTATGGGTTTTATCAATCTTTACAATCTGCTTTCTCTCCTTCGCTTCTAAATATCCTGGTTCAAGATCCTATTGTTTGGTGAGTTTCAGTTGCAGCCAAACGAATACGGCGGCTAAGGAGGCATGTGGTCCTGTCACCTGTTGCTCATTGTGTAATCCATCAATCCCGAACTTAATGCAGTAGAAAGTGCCATTTCCTCCTTCCCGTTTCACCACAGTATTCAAAATGTGAAGATTCACTCAAGTCTGAATACTGCTAAATTTACAGCTTGTCTTGGGCTATATTGCACTTCAAAAGACTGGAAACAATAGCCCCTAAATAGATTAGTCACTTGTTGAGCTGGATTGATGGTCTCTGCAATGAAAGAGCTAAGTAGGAATCCAGAGTATAGGACAGTGATGGCGAACCTTTTTGAGCCCGAGTGCCCAAACCACAATACATGCCAATTTTTTTTCTCCTTAAAGCGCCAACACGGCAATTAAACCCAAATACTGAGGTTTAAGTTTAGAAAAAACGACTCGTACTGTTGTCCGAACTAATAACTTTTGTTTTAAAAGAACACAGAGAGTTCAATGATACAAATTTTAAATAATGATATAAATAGATAAAATTAAGCTTATATTTATTAGTATCTCCAACAAATGCAATACATACAGACACAGACTGTTGAATACATACACACAGTCTGCTGAATACACACACACACACACAAGACTGCTGAATACAGAGACTGATGAATACACACACACAGTCTGCTGAGTACACACACACACACAGACTGCTGAGTACACGCACATACACACAGACTGCTGAATACACGCACACACACACACTGCTGAATACACACATACTGCATTGAGGTGGGGGGTGCTGTGTGTGTGGGTGTGTGTGTGTGGGGTGCTGTGTGTGTGTGTGTGGGGTGCTGTGTGTGTGTGTGTGGGGTGCTGTGTGTGTGTGTGTGTGTGGGGTGCTGTGTGTGTGTGGGGTGCGTGTGTGTGTGTGTGGGTGCTGTGTGTGTGCGGGTGCTGTGTGTGTGTGGGGGGTGCTGTGTGTGTGTGTGTGTGGGGGTGCTGTGTGTGTGTGGGTGGCTGTGTGTGGTTTTTGGTTTTTGTGGGGGTGGGTGCTGTGTGTGTGTGTTGTGTGTAAGTGCTGCGTGGGGTAGGGTACTGTGTGTGGGGTAGGGGTACTGTGTGTGGGGGGTGGGTACGTGTGTGTGGGGGTTAGGGTATCGCTGTGGGGGGTAGGGCAACTGTGTGTGGGGTAGGGTACTGTGTGTGGGGTAGGGTACCGCTGGGGGTAGGGTATTGGGTTGGGGGTAGGGGTACTGTGTGTGTGGGGTAGGGGTACTGCTGGGAGGCTAGGGTACGTGTGTGTGGGAGGGCTAGGGGTTCTGTGTGTGGGGGGATAGGGGGTACTGCTGGGGAAGGTAGGGGGTACTGCTGGGGGTAGGGGTGCTGGGGGCAGGGGTACTCTGGGGTAAGGTACTCTGGGGTAGGGTACCGCTGGGGTGGTGGTAGGGGCAAATTGCTGGGGAGGGTAGGGGTACTGCTGGGGGGTAGGGGTACTGCTGGGGAGCTTAGGGGTTACTGCTGGGGAGGGTAGGGGTACTGCTGGGGGGGGTTAGGGGTACTGCTGGGGGTGGGTAGGGGTACTGCTGGGTTAAGGGTGCTGTGTGTCAGTATACCCCCCCCTTCCCTCCTTCTTACCTTTAATGAAGTAAAGGGGGGGGGGGACAGCCATCCCTGGTGGTCCGGTGGTGGCAAGCACTGCAGGGGGAGGGATCTGTGATGCAGCTCCCCTGTCCTCCTGCGCAATGCTATGTGGAGCGTTGCCATGGTAACGCGTGGCACCGCTCCACACAGCATAGCGCGGGAGGACAGGGGAGCTGCATCACAGATCCCTCCCCCTGCCTCCCGACCCGGAAGCAGAGTAGGCGCCTGCCGTTTTGGCAGGCAGGTGCCTACTCTACATTGATGGCGAACCTGTGGCCGCGTGCCCACAGAAAGGGCCCGGCGTGCCACCTGTGGCACGTGTGCCATAGGTTCGCCATCACTGGTATAGGAAATAAACATAAAACACAAGAGAATAAATGACAGCAAAATCTACTAAAGGGACATATAGGCACACAGACCACTTAATCTAATTGAAGAAGTCTGAGTGTAGTGTCCCTGTCCCCTTAACCCTGCAATATAAAACTTTGCATGAAGACGTCATGCATCTTGAACCACCTTCCCCCCCCAAAAAAAAACAAAAAACATAGGAAAGCACTTATATTTCCTATAAGTAATGATTAATGTGTGTGTAAGGGGTGCTTGCTGCGCATGCACATTAGACATCTGGATTGCTGTGATGTTGGCTGAGCAGGAGCTTGATTCAGCACCAAGGAACCTCACCGCTGGAATCAGTATAGTTTTTAAATGTTTTTTAACCCTTTATTTGCCTGCGGGAGAGCACATTCAGCCATGGGCAGAGGGACAGTATTGTGGATTATTAACACTGTTTTTTATTCCTACCAGCATAATGTTCCTTTATTTATAAAAAAAAAAAAAAAATGGAGTACAAATACAATACAAGAATCTATAGTACAACGTAATAAAATAAGCACGAGGGAAAAAAACAAGGGAAACTCTGAATGGGAGCAGGCCTCAGGATGCAGGGAGTACAGGCAACATGATAAAGAGAGAACAAGTCTCAGGCTAGTGGGAAAGCAGGGAGTACAGACGACATGATACAGAGAGAACAAGTCTCAGTCTAGTGGGAAAGCAGGGAGCCGAGTATACAGGGACAGCAGACTCCAGGTGTAGGTAGAGCAGGCCCATAACTCCAAACATTGTCATACTATGAAGCAGGAAGCCGGCAGCAGTGTAAAATGGAGTGGGTCATGGATGCAAATTCATTGGTTCCACCTAAGGGGATGGACTCTCCCAGAAAGGAGGTGAACCTGTATGGAGAGTTGGAAGGTCAGCCTAGCATGAATGCAGGCCAGGCTGCCTAAAAAAATCAAGCAGGTTGGCCCACCAAAAGTAGACCATGTAAGGAACACTGTTTCAGTGCTCTCTGAAGGGTACTTGTGCTCTGAGCATAGTGCAGGTGGGTGTAATGATCAGCTCTGGCTATGCTTTTCTGAGGATATTTTCCTTGTGTCCTCAAAAGTGGTAAATAAGGGAACAAAGTAAGGTTGGTGGGGCAGGGCACTGAAATTGGGAATTGGTGTAGGACACACCTATACCGGGGTACTGTGATGTAATTATGGGCATAATACTTTATGGCCATATAGAGGAACTCAATCGCTATATTTGTTTGCTGAGATAGTTTATTTTAAGTCGCCTTATAAGATTTAAAACTATATTGTTTGTGTGTGCTGTTCCTCAATCTGTATATTGTATTTTATTTTGTAATCTGTATAATGTATATTTTTTGGTCTCTACAGCACCACCATTGCTAAAAAAAAATCCATGTTCTAGGTATGCTCCCAATTTCCTTTTTTTCTTAACTATGTAGGTTTCGAGTCCATGCCAGATTCCTTTTGAGATAAGCACCCCACCCCACCCACCATCTTCAGCTGTCCCTTTGGAGGTGACAACAGGAGAGTATATATTTGAGGAGGTTTTGGATAGTAATCTCACTTGATTTATTATTTTCATTTAGTATAAAGAAGATATATGATATATATGACTTCCACATCCCATCTAACATCAGCGGTGCCCAATCATGCTCCAATCAAATAATTTTTGAAGAGAAGCATTTGACTGGACCATTTGCCTGGTTCAGTGCACATGCACATGTTCTGATCCAGGAAGGGGAAGGGAGGTGTGGACAGGGGAGTGGATTTAAAAAAAAAACAAAAAAAAACAGGCTTTGCAGGGAGGCAAATGGAGGGAAGAGCAAACTTCCCCTTGTAGGCATGCAGTCTGCAAGGGAGACGATAACATCTGTCATCAGCATGATGACAACAAATGTAAATTTTGCACAGAACTGACATTTGGCAGTCCAGAACAAAGTGATAATATCTCAGTATATACAAACAGAAATGCTGCACATATAGACTCCCACCACCATGAACACTTCTAAAAGCAGTTGTTGCTGTTATTTTCTAGAATGTTATTTTCCTTCACAACATTCAAATGTAAAATTATTAATGGAGTAGTATAGAGCAGTGGTTCCCAAACCAGTCCTCATGGCCCACCAACAGTCCAGGATTTATGTATTTCCCTGTTTTATTCCAATGGAGATACTAACAAAACCTGGACTGTTAGTGGGTCTTGAGGACTGGTTTGGGAAACGCTGGTATAGAGTAAGAAGGTGGGCTAGTTTAGTCACAAAATGGGTGTTTTCTTTTGAACCTTTCTTCATGTCAAAAATAGTCTCTCCTGTGTGTTGTCGGCCCCTTATTTCCCCATTAGCTTTGAATAGTGGGAATAGTAAGATCTGTGTTCCACATGCCAATGGCATAATGTTTCCCAGGAACAGCCACATAGGATTCTTGGACATTGTTTCTTATCACATCCTTACACAGGGAATTGAAGGTGAAACTTGAGTATTTTCAGTGCCACAAATGTAAACACTTAAGAACTGATAGATCCTGCAATGACTCAACCAAGGTCTTAATAAGGACATTTGAAGATAACAAATAGTTTCTCTACTTAAAAGTCTATTTGTGTGGCATCATCTGTGATACAAATGTTCCATAAAAACTTCTGCTTTGATTAGTAATCTAGAAACATGCCAGCTTTGACACACGACAGCAGGACAAAGAAAAATGTGAGGTGGCTATTAATGACTGCCCAAAAAAGTTGAGGCAAGTTTCGTTTCCAGTGTAATTGCATTAAATTTGCATGACTGGAAACTTACCAAATGATCTTTTGAAACCTGGCAAAGTTTCTCAACTTTCAGTGGAAAAGAATGTTGGTTAGTACACATAATATTAATAAGTAACAGAGGAGCAATCAGATTAAAAGGTACAGCTAAAACTGTACTTCACGGCTTTTCCTTTGGAAGATATACAACAGGACCAAGGCATCAATAAACATTTGTGTGTGTTGTGATAAACCATCTCTGTTTTCATTGCTAAATTTATTAATAAAAAAGGAGTCTCGTTTAATATGAGGATAAGTTATAAAAACAGAGTTGTTGAAATATTAGAGAGTTTCTGCAGAAAACTGGAGTGAAGTTAGAACTCATCTAGTGGTATACTGAGAAATAAATGCAGTGACCCATATTCTAGGTTGTAATCCTGAGGCTGGCATTTTAAAGTCAGAGAAAATATGTCATTTTCTTCTTGATTGATAAGATGTTTTAGGTCTTGTTTTACTCAATTTTAGCAGCTGGACCATAAAGAAAACATTCTTGGTCCCTGGACGTTCTGAAAGATGCTAGAAAGCTATTTCACACTTTAAGTGCTTGGTATTGATGGTACAACCAAGCTCACTTCAGGAATTTGGACTCTAAATATAATCTATATATTTATACAATATGATGTATAATGTATGTATAATCACATAGATGATGATAATCAGTTTGGCCCTCCTTTGAATATTTACCGCTATCTGCGAGTGAATTTATCCTATGAAAAAGTTTGGATTTTCCTCAGCTAGGATTTCTTTAAGAGGATTTCATTGCAATTTGTGGGGGATTTGCAAGTTTCTGTTTTTTTTTTATTCCAAAGCGGTCAGGGTGAATAATTTTAAAGTAGCATATTTTGCCCTTTTGGTTTCATTCCATTAGTATCCTGTCCCTGATGTTATATGGGCTCTTGGATTCTTCCATTGATTACTATAGCAATTCCTCAAATGTTTTAACTTGTTTCTCAAGGTGAGTGCTGCAATACCGTGGTTTTAAAGCTATGCTTCTAAAATATTTATTCAAGAAGGTTAAGACTTTTTTATTTCTTCTTTCATAATCATTGAGCAAATGTTATCATAGCATATAAAAACATATCTAGGTTAAATCAGCATGACTGGAGTTTTTAATATGTTCTGAGTAAGCGTATTAGCAACTCGTCGCTAAGTGGTCACCTTGAGTAATTCTAGAGAAAAGAAAGAAAAAATAAATAAATCACGAAAGGGTATTTTATTAGGAAAAAGAGGAAGTTCAAACTTGTGGTTTGATTTGTATAAGGAACAAATATTTCCATTCCTTGTGAAAATATCAAGAAGCATGGTGAACAAGTGAGGTTATCTTGTGCATATGTTATTATTCATATATTTTTGTAATTTACTTTTTAGACGGGAGATTTTCTATCCATTATGAATTAGCTATTACATGTTTGGTAGCAAGCATTATCATGATGAAAATTTTCTTCTCCAATACCGTAAACCCTACCATGGGCTGAAAGGTTGTTTCATTCTATTTCTTTCCTGCATAGTATGTTCGTGCTGTCCTCTCTGTGGTGCGTGGTTTTGCTTATCTCATGGTTTGTATGGAAAAGACGATAGGGTGGATGAAAACAGACATACGTTTTTAGCAGAGTAGGTCAGTGAGATAATAAAATATGGATAATAAATCTCACTAATCTAATTTGATATCATTTAAGTATTCCCACTGCTAAAATGTATACAATTGTTTCACATATTGGTTCGAGTGTAGACTCTATCTGGCAAGTTCCTGTATTAAACACTATAATGCAACATTGGTGAAAAACCCTTCTTGCAGACTGTAAATGTAGTCTTAGAAAGGATGAGAGATAGACCACATTGCTACCAAGGTGTATTACCAGTACTCTGTGTCAGTGTGGTAAATAAAGAAGGGATAGTCAGAGTTGATACCACTAACCAGGGTCAATTCCACTAGATGGAAGATTAAATATACACAATATCACAGGAACATACCTATGGGCTAATAGAAACCACAGTAAGACAATATAAACTATGTGGACTTGTACAGAATTTGGTTATTATTTAACTGTAAAAGAAATACCTTGTGTGCACTTGTAGAAGAGAACAAGTAGATCTGAGAACTTGTGGAGAAATGCTTTCAGGATCCTTAGCAAGAGTTTTTGTGAAACCAAGTTAGAGTAGATTATTAATTATGATTTGTATGTTTGTTTGTTTTTTAAATCTTGGCAACTGGCAGTATAATGACCCAGAAAGTAATTTGTATCACAACGAAACAACGCACATTTTCCATTCAGGATGATATAGAAAAGAGTCGAAATCTAGATCTTCATGCTGTGTTTAATATTAACTGTCATGATACACTCCCTGAATTCTAATGATCATAGGACTGTACAAGGGTTACAGTAAAAAGTCTCACAGCATTGGCAAATATGTGATAACATTGCCAAAGCAACATAAGGCAATTTTAGAACTGTGGCTTCCAAAAACAGTTGGAATTATGCAATGCGAAAAGGGGATCAATCTTGAAATGATGACAGTACATGACACATATGGGCAAACGCTATTAGTAAAGAGGAATAGAGGTAGCATGGTAAACATTGCTGCCTAAGATAGGCAGCCCCTTCACAAAATTGATTCTATTTCCACCAAAAGTACAGACTCAAAAATTAACAAAAATGTTAATTGTCCCCTATGTGACCACTGTATGTCATTAACTTAATAAAGTTTTAAACGCCCCCTATATCTGAATTAAATGTACATATGAACATAACCAGGTATCTGGAGTACAACACCGGAGCCTCTGTACAATGAAGCAATCAATATGGTCTGATTCTGAGTCATCCTTCGCCGTTTGTCCTACAATGTCTGTTGCCCAATGTTTTCCATGATCAAAATTCATAATAGTAATTAGTTAGACAAATAATAAAAACCATGCAGTCTGATAATTGCTCTGCTCTGTATCATCATAATGTTGATCATAGCTCAGAGTGAAAATGCCCCGATGCAACACTCTACCCAAACTGTAAGAGACACGTTGTAATAGAGCATTGTTACAATAATTACAACTACTATAGAGATGTAATAAGTGATTTTACTAAAAACATGTTATTTTGTACATTCTTGGCAAATGAGAGAATCTAGTGCAGGGGTAGGCAACCTTTGGCACTAAAGATGTTGTGGACTTCATCTCCCCTGATGCTTTGCCAGCAATATGGTTAAAAGAAAATTATGGAAAATGTAGTCTACTACATCTGGACTGCTGAAGGTTGCCTACCCCTGACCTAGTACATGCCAGCACATTATGGTTTCTGTATGTACACAGAAACAGTTTTTTTTTTTCTTTAGGAAGCATAATATAGTAATTCAAAAACAATAGATTTTTTTAGCCTTTCAGCTCCAGAAATGTACCCAACACAGTTTTTCGAAATGGCCACACTGGCTCCGAGAGAGTCAATGTTTATCTGCTAAAAGCTCCTGCTTACTTTTGTCATGATAAATTTAATATAAAGTACTAATAATGACTATATATCCCCAATATGTAGAGAAACAGGTAATTTGTTTTGTAAACATTTTAGATGTAGAAGCAATCCTTGTAAATGTAGCTTTCTATTAAAAATATATACAAAAGAAACAGAACAAATTGCTATTCTGCATTGCAGAATATTGTAAAGATTTTGAAATGACTTAAACATTACAATGTAAAGACAGTCCATGTTTTTTTTATGGTGACTTACATTCTATTTGATTCTGAACCAGCACACAGAGTAAATAGCTGAACTTTGAATTTCCAAATGAGTTAATTATTAGATTTCGACGAATTCACTAGTCTAATATAATAGCTCTGAGTTTAGAATTTTGTACCTAATCTACATTGCACAATTTAATCTATGCGCCTGGACTCTAACCCCAATAAAAACATCTCTTGCTTGTAAATGTTATGCCCAATATGCTTATAAGAAAAAAAATCACAATACATTCTCTTATGTGAGTCATGTTTATTATATATATATTTTTACAACTTGCTTGTCTGGTCTATTTATGTGCTCATTTTAGGGGGTTAGTTTTATATCTAACATCAGTGTTCATTTACACTTTAACTTCCTCTTTTAAAACACAGTTTATTATACCATAATTTTTTTATATGGCGTATACATGATAATTTCCTAGAGCCGAACAACTACAAAATGGCGGTTGTGACAAAGCTATGCCTTTGACGCAGTTTAAACTAATAAAACATTCTGAATAGGGGGGTATTGCTCCTTAGGAAACCATTAAAAATGCAGAACCATTTGCTAAATGGTAATTTAGTTTAACATGCTGAAAAGGTCCATTTTTATTTTATTGTATTTCTTGTAATATTGGTCCCTGAGAAAGTTTCCTAAAGGGAACGAAACGCGTAGGACGGCTTTTTAAACCATATTATTTTAACAAATATTCCAATAAATTGTTTTTTTCTACATCTATACCATTTGGAGTATGTGACCTTCCTGGTATCCAGATTGGAACTATCATCAACAGTGGGACATACCCCCCATACTACAGGGGAGGCACCCTGAAGGCTTGCTTTACAAAACCAATCTGTGAGTGTAACCTTGAAGTGTTGGGCAATTGAAAGGCTATAATAATATTACACTATGTTGTATTTTATTTATATGTTTTAGTAATATTGGCTGGATCCCTGTCTTATTTGCATTATATACTATCTTGTATATGGTTACCAATTTTGGGAGGTAACTTGAGGGAAGCAAGTAACCAAAAGCTAAGTTCATTCATTATTTCCATGGGTGAACAAGTGGAAGCTGTATATTGTATATCAGTGTAAGTGTGTCTGTCAGTGTGTGTCTGTCAGTTGTCAGTGTGTGTGTCTGCCAGTGTGTGTGTAGGTATGTCAGTGTGTGTGTGTGTGTGTGTCTGCCTGTCAGTCAGTGAGTGTCTGTGTGACTGACTGTCAGTGTGTGTCTGTCTATCTGTCAGTGTGTGTTTCTGTCAGTGCGAGTATCTGTCTGTCAGTGTCTGTCAGTGTGTGTGTCTGTCTGTAAGTTTCTTTGTGTGTGTCTGTCTGTCAGTGTCAGTCTGTGTGTGTGTGTTTGTCTGTCAGTGTAAGTGACTGTATGTCAGTGCATGTGTGTGTGTTTGTCACAAATGTATGGGGGTGGGAGAAACACGTGGAGGGAATTTGTAAGAATCATGGAGGGACTGGGGGAGAATTAGATATGTGGAGGGGCTGGCAGAGTGAGATGAGACGTGTGGAGGGGCTGGTGGGGGTTGAGACACATAGGGGTCCCTTAGTGCAGTTTTCGCACCAGTGTCCGGTGGTTTCTAGTTACGCCTCTGGTACTATTATATGCAATATATGCTATATTATAATATAATAATCCCTCATATTGTGGGATCTCCAGTTTGCATCAATCATAAAACCACAATTTCATTTAAAGGGTTAATCACAGAGTTTGTTGTGGAGCTGATTGTACATTACCATAGCAAGTTTATTAATTAACCTTCCTCCCCTTAAAGGATCTCCTACACAAGGAAATAGCATATTATTCAGAGAGTCCAAAGTTTTTTTAAACGTTACCATCATCAATGCTATGATACGAGCAAGTATTCATCTGGCATCATGACAACAGGAAAGGAATTTATTTGCATATGTGCCTTCTCTTCCAGCAGTTTGATCAGTTTCACAGCAGTTACATGAAGACTGGCAGGCTTAACCACTAAACACCAGGTTCTGCCATGGAAAAAAATTCAGTGAAAATTACTCTATTCTGACAGCAATGGAAATTCTCATATTTACTAAAGCCAAATACAGTCTTGCCCAAGCAAATTTGCAGCAATCGCCCAGATGCATTAAGTATTTGGATTAAAATCTGTGCTTTTGCATCCAAACCCTATACAATGTATAGGTTGTGAAAGATTCACAAAGTACCAATATTAACAAAATTGATTCATTAGCTTTTTTGCACGTGAATTGATCATTTCCTCACTGCTCCCTTGCATGCATTTTAGTGATGCCGGGGCCTGAATAACATCATTACAGCAGAACGCAAGGGAGGAGTGATAAACTGGAAGAACCAGCCATCAAAACCTGTATCCTCTCTCCTCCCCGCCACCCCCCCGATATATTTCAACAGGTAAGCAGGTGCCTACTCTGCCATAATAAATAAGGGTCCGCTTAGGGGGCATAGCAAGGTAGCAAGCTGACCACATACTGGGACCTCTGTAAAAGGCCATTAGCCTGCTTCCCTCAGCACCCCCCCCCCCCTTCAGGTGCCCATGCATGATTTACCCAACCAGGATCGGCCTTGGAAGGATTCATGATGATTATAAGGGAATGAAGGGGTATTGAGCAGTAGAGGCTTACATATAGGAACAGCTAGAGTAGCACCCTGACAGTTTTTTTGTTTTTTTTTGTTTTAGTTTTTTTTGCAATAAAAGAATGAAGAAATAAATAAATTAAACTATATATTTCTTCTTGTTTCTGTTGGGGGTTTTCATTTTTTTTGTGTGTATAAACTTACACCTGTGAGATGTGTCTGTGTGATTAGACATGTGTTTTATCATTTTAATTGTTAATACTGCAGTTTCCCACTTTCTTGTTGCCAGGGAGAATAAATAAAACCATGACCATAGTTTTGGCTGTTGGTCCCAAATTATCATTAAATCCTATTAGAAATTGTTTGATTCGGGGGCGGAGCCTGATCGCCAAGAAGACAAGACATGCAAAGCGTGGGCTCCCGAGTCTGAACCCAAGATTCCGGGCACAACGCCCGACCACCCAAACACATCGACTGCTGACCGCACTAATCGACTGCAGAAGACTGACCTGAACCCGGGGATACCAGATACTTGGTCCCCCGGCGCCGGCGGACCACGTGCGACAAGCGGCCTGTGCGGGTGGGAGCCGTGGAGAGACGGCCGCTCTCCCGGTTCTCTGGTCGACGAGGGGGCACACACATCTCATCTCCCCCTCCCCCCCCGCTGACCAGGGGGTTATCCCGGTCCCCAAAAACCTGAGCTGCCTCTGGCCAGCACACCCCTGGACACCCGGCAGACCTCTCAAGCTGTGAGGCTCAAGATGGCGGACACGCCAGGCAAAGCAGCACTGGGCCAGACAATACCGCAACTGGATAAAACAGACCCCAGGGATCATGCTACAGACACCCTGGGAGTTATATTTGACAAATTCTGGTCCAAGCTGACTGAACGCGCCAAATTGGCACAAGCCACAGGGGAACCGGACAGAGCAGAACCAGGGCACAACGAAACACGACCTCAGCAGCCTCCTAGGGGCAGACAGCCAGGCCGCATCAACCTGACAGCAAAACCGACACTATATAAAACCCACCGCCGGAGAAAGAGGGCTGCAGCTGGACGCCCTACCAACAGCCGCAGTGCAGAAAGGACCTACATCATACCAACGCCTGGTGGTAAATACCTGGGAAAAACACAGAGACCACCCGTGGGCCGACCCTCGAGAGACCCAAGGAGCAGAACTGCCTTACCCAACCAGGGTGCCACTACCTTGCGGGTGGAGATCGCGCTGGTCAATGCGGGGGCGCCAGCTGCCACACAGGCCCGGGATGCGAGACATAGAATGACCCATGACGCTGAGGCTCACTGGGACAGTTCTGCTGGAGCCCAGCTCTTGCCGACTGAGGGAGTCGGTTGACTTTTGATACCCCATGGCGAATTGGCTTGTTGCCAGCCACCCAAAAAAACACAGTTATAACGAACCATGCCTGGACCCCAGAGGTTAAGCTAACTTAAAGGGCTATATCACATGCATGCTAAGCCACAATAGTCACTAGTGTAATTCAGAATGTACATGTCTGCTGCCTTTGGGCCTACTATTAATGTTGATCAAAAGAAAAGCATAGACGGGTTGTCATTGCCACACTTAAGCCAGTCAGTCATGTGTATTACAACACTTAACATAGTTAACTCTAGAGGGCCAGCTCAGGTTCTGATCGCGATTGTATAGCCTACCATATAAGACATATACTACAGTATACTAGCATACACAACTCAAAGGTTTAAGCTTGTTAATATAAAATGAGGTTGTTAATCCTAGGAGATCTCTGTGCTCTGTTATGATGACCCTAACATGTATAACTCTTGCAAGTCTCCTTCTCTTCTTCTGTACCACCATAATCACATGCCTCAATAAAATAAAGAATTTAAAAAAAAGAAATTGTTTGATTCAACTTCATTGGATGTCTGACATCTATCTGTTGTCCTCAATGTCTCCTTTTTCAGGTGACCAATATGCAGCCCTAAAAGACAGGTGTGCCTAGTTACCTGTCTTTCGGGGAAGTCATAGGGTTCAACACCAAGGGGTGGAGTTGGCAGCCTCCATTATGATTCTGTATCTTCCTCATTGTTTAAGCCCCTACTGCCATCATAGTGTGTCTTGCTCCTACTCCTCTGAGTGCTACTGTGTCTTCTGTAACAGGGTCCTGGGTACCCCCAGCTCCATTCTGAGCCCCAATGACAGCAGACACTGCTTTCACGTCATGTGCCTGCCATCGTATCTTAGTGTTTACAGTGTTTCCAACTCTGTGGCTCCCTTTACCACTCTGCTTATGTAGATCTATTAAACATAGGTACTACTTCAATCATTGTGCCTGCCTTAGTATGGTTAAAAAAAGGTGTCCAGGTCCTGCCTACCTTGCATCCGCAAGCCATAATCCAACACTCCAGCATTGGGTGCCTGCCATTTTACTGCTCTAAAGTGGCCTGGCCACTGGGCTAGATGAGGATCAATGGAGTTTTTTTTATTTTTTTATTATTATATTCTTTATTGAAAAAATTTGTTATTCTTCTCATATCGTACAATAATGTTAATAAACAAATATAAAAATTACAATCCAGTTAAAGAGTGAATTATAATTGTACATTCAAAGATCAATTTAACCTGATATGCATGAATATTACAAAATACAACAAGAAATATCCTGCCATACATTCCATATACATTCCATATATACTAACATTCACACTTTCAGAGTGAGAAATTAATGGATCCTAAAGTAAAGAATATCTGTATCCACATTAGTATATATATATTTATGTATATATGTAATTAGTAGAAAACCACTATCCTAATTCCCAAACAGTGTTTAAATCATCTCTCCATAATCATATTAGTAGATCATCCCTATGTTACTCTCCTTCTCGCCCAACAACTATTTAGATTATTCTAGTCAGATTTTACATGGATCTCTTAGAGGATCTGTTACGCATTCTTATTTTTCTACTCTTGTTGAACCGTATATCTCGTTAAAGAAAAATCCAGATAACACTGAATATATAGTTATAATCAAGGATCGAGTTTACATGTTATGTAAGAGCAATATGATAGCGAGGCGGAACGTCTTATATGTTATATAGATATCATAAATAGTTTTTTCGAGGTATCAAAGTGAGGATAGGTAAGTACAAAAAAGAACTACAGCAAAGTCCACTTAGATTTGAACATATATAAGTGTTCCCATCCCTTACATCACTTATTGCTATCACCACTCAATCTCTATACTCTAGATAATATAGGGCCTACCTTCCCGTCTTCAATCATATAATAATATAAATTTGTCTAGCAACATTTTATATATGCCTTTCTTGTGCATTGAGCTAGCTGTATTATTTAAGAGATTCTGTTACATAGACAATTGAAATGTAATTTGATTTATAAGGTGGCTTTTTTGAAAGGGGGTAGATAATGTCCACCTTCTGGCAATTATAATTTTAGCAGCGACCAGACAATGTGATACAATGTGAAAATACTTTATTTTCCTATGCAGAAAGGTCTATTCATGTTTTCTGCCCTGGCGTTCGGTAGATTCTCGGATTTACTGAATGAACTCATATAACCCAGATAGCTATGCCATGCAGCCTATTCATGTAATAAAAGACTTTGGCTCCATGGCAATTGAACTGTATGTGGGTGTGGTCTGAGCGCCATTCAGTATTAATGTGCGCTCAGCCCTAAGCTATCTGGGCATATGTTGCATGTCTGTATTTTATGTCATAAATGTAACCGTGTGTATTTTATTGTATTTTACTGCCTTTTTACTGCCATGTGCTTAATGGAGTTTTGCCTCTGTCCTTGGAGATAATTGGATTACTTCCCAATTATCTCCAGGATAGAAGACTCTGTGGAACTGGTTTTGGGCAGAAAAGCCATGCTTCCTTTGGTCACAAAGGACTACGATCTATCTTTTGAACCACTGGACCAATTTGGATGATTTATGTTTGTATTGATATATGACATATGTTTGTATTTGGAGTATGCTGATTCTGAAAATGTAAGTTTTATGTGAATGTGATGTATACTTTTAAAGTTATGAATAATGTGGAAAAACTGTATTTCTCTGGCTGTTATAATTACATTACCCATTGAGTAAGGTAATTGTATCACAGGCAGAGGGGAGGATTTTGTGTGGGAGTGTCTGAGTGTATTGTATTTGTTTATTGGTTGGTTTCCAAAACCCTGTGGGTGGTACTAATGTGTATATAAGAAAAATAAACCCACAGTTCTGTCTGTTCACTGCTTTGTCTCATTCTTGGGGGCATTTATTGTATGCTGTTCCAGTTTGACTGCGAGGAGTGTAAACCTATTTGTATGTTTTTTCCTATTCGGCTGTTTACGGCATTCATATGGTTTCCTGTTCAGCGGATTGGTGTTCTGCAGTAGCTGTGCCTGTGTCTTTGGAAGGGAAGATCTACTAAATAGCGGTTTAACCCTTTTATGCCTGGGGGTGCCATTACAGTTGTTTAGTGAATAAGTGAGTGTGTTGGATCTTGTATGATATATATATAATGTAAATTACAGATGTTTACCCAAAAAAATTTAAAAATAATAATTTGAAAGCATTTTTGGGGTAAACACCTGTAATATACAGCATTTAACTTCATTTATTTTACTTAAAGGAACACTATAGTCACCTAAATTACTTTAGCTAAATAAAGCAGTTTTAGTGTATAGATCATTCCCCTGCAATTTCACTGCTCAATTCACTGTCATTTAGGAGTTAAATCACTTTGTTTCTGTTTATGCAGCCCTAGCCACACCTCCCCTGGCTACGATTGACAGAGCCTGCATGAAAAAAAAAACTGGTTTGACTTTCAAACAGATGTAATTTACCTTAAATAATTGTATCTCAATCTCTAAATTGAACTTTAATCACATACAGGAGGCTCTTGCAGGGTCTAGCAAGCTATTAACATAGCAGGTGATACGAAAATCTTAATTTAACAGAACTTGCAATAAAGAAAGCCTAAATAGGGCTCTCTTTACAGGAAGTGTTTATGGAAGGCTGTGTCAGTCACATGCAGGGAGGTGTGACTAGGGTTCATAAACAAAGGGTTTTAACTCCTAAATTGCAGAGGATTGAGCAGTGAGGCTGCAGGGGCATGTTCTATACACCAAAACTGATTCATTAAGTTAAAGTTGTTCAGGGGACTATAGTGTCCCTTTAATAATAGGAATATATATATATATATATATATATATATATATATATCAATATGGTTTATTTCTTATGTAAGAGATTGCCACGAAAATGGTAGACAAATTCATGATCAAAACATTCACGAACAGAGAAGGCAGAGACATATCCACATATCCAGTCTGGTGCCCCACCAACTTGAAATGTCACCAGTTGTCATTGGAATCAGCAGTTAAGATCTGAATGCAAATAATACATCATTTTATAGATTCAATTCAGAACACACATACCACATTTGTTTCATGTATCCATGATTGTTATTTGTCCTACTTATGTACAACAATATGTATTCATCATTTCACTATTAACTTTTTATTTTCATTATTTGCATGTGTGAATATCTGCATTACTGCTTTTCATTCCAACTAAGCACAGAGATCTCTGAGCAATCCTGCTCCCATGCAACAGGATTCCTGCTCCCATACAACAGCCTGGTGATGTACTAAAGAAATTTTTACGTACACATAATTATTATAAAATAATACATATATTTGTTATTTTGATACTTAATAAAAAATGATGATAATTTACCATTTGGTTTAACCCCTTAAGGACACATGACATTCCAGAAGTTTGCTGCTTAAGGGTTTAAAGGGGGGATTCTAAGTAACATAACAACTACAGCCCATTACAGTGATTATGATCCAAGAAATAACCTGGTGCCGTCTCACCCTAACAAGTCAAACTGTGGTTTGATACTAGCCTGGGTCCCTCAGACACCCATATTACTTCTTTTCTTAATATTGATAAAACCATTTTATGCAAATTTCCACTTCTTTCATTAGCTGACCAACAAAAATATTAGTTTCAGTACGGAACTCCATTCCAGAGTAACAGTGAATTCATCATAGATACACAAAGTCCTGGATTTAAAAGGAGGTGTAATGTTGCATATAGCCATATTGTATTTGTGCAATGTGCCGTGCAAGTGATTATCAGGAAGCCAGTGTGGAATTTCATATGAGAGATATATGATGATATTTATTGCTATCTGGGTAGGTAGGGTGAACAGTTTGTATATCAAAGTGTGACATAGAAAAGTTATGAGGCAAATAAACAATCTATTTTAGGTTTTAGGGATTTGTATAAATTTACACATTTCTCTGCTATATTAGCAAGTACTATTCACTTTGTACTTTTTTAAATTACAAAACTTGTCTTACACATACATATTGGGCCACACTATTAATGACACTGTATATGTTTAAGCGACAGAAAATATTTAAAGATACCCTCACTTTATTCCTAGATCTTGCAGACAATGGGTTCATGCCCTAGGTACTGACAGTATCGAACAAAAATGAAAGTCTCCGCTCTCCAAATCTTCAATTAAAGAATATATTAATTCAACTACATCCAAAAACAGTGAATGTTGAACATTTCAGCAACACGCCTCTGTCAAACCTCAAAAATAAAAATTATGATAGTAATTATAATAAAGTATTTCTCTAAAGATTTGTAGTGTAGGTTTCATTAGATTTATATATAAAATACCAATTTAAGCTATTTTACAAATAATGTGCAGTATTTTATTTAAAACAAAATATAATTGAAACAATAACAAATCTGGAAATATAACACACACATATTTACTAAATAAAAATGGTGTAAAAACGGTGGATCATTCAACTATTTAACTATTAAAACCTGTGTGCTGTACAACTGCTGCCTGAGGTATTCCTACTATCCTGCTGCTTAGCCCTAGAATTACATTTCAGAATTTTTTCTGCACTAATCACAGAAATATTGTGCTAGTGTTAGATGCAGTTATATGTGTTATGATGCGGCAGAGTTTTTTTAATAGAATTAATATCTTTATCTACAATGTTGTAATTTAAGCTTGATAGACTTTTTCAGGTTAATGTAAATAAAACATTTAAATGAACACATTAGTGTTTGGGGTACAAACCTATATTCCCCATGTTATACTGTCCCTTTTCCAATCTATAAAAGTCCCATTTCTTCCCCGTTCGGCAATGTGACGAAGTGCCCTTCGCCACTTGGTCCTAGAGAGGCCTGCTTGACAGCCTACTCCCCTGTGACTGTGACTCTTTCATGTATTTGGCTTTAAAGCCCCTAGTCTACCTTCAGACAGACTATTTATGTAGGCTGCATTATTTATCTTATGTTTTAGTCACCCTGTACCCATTATAGGTGCAGGGTGTGTGTAATGTAATTGTTTATAGTGTGTGTGTGTGTACTGTGAAATGTATTTCCTGCTCTCCTGTACTGCTGAGGTTTGCTACCAACTAGGTGGGTTTGGCTATGGAGCTTGTCTAGTGCCCTCTGTTGGTAGCAACAGCAATATGCACTACCTGAATTGCAAGACTGGTTCATTTGCATATTTGGGTAGATTTGCATATTGCTAATTCTGCAGGCAGGTGAGATATTTACTGTTGAATATTGTCTCCCCCACCCCTTTAAAAATGTGCCATTGTGTTGTGATAAGTCACTGTGTGTTGCCTGCTATGGTTTGACTGTTTTTGATTTTATTGAGGTTTCACAACAATGTTATTGTGGTGACCCTATGGGCTGGTCCCAAGGGAAATAAAGGTTTAGACAGTTCTTCTTGGTCCCTCTAAACATAGCCTTGTCTCGTTATTGGAGGGAGCTGTTATAATCACCCTGGGGATTGCTATGCTCTGCATGCTCCATTGAGCTTGAATCACTTAGCTCTTTTAAGAGCTTGTTCCTTACACACTCTCCTTGGAGGAGGGGTCTTCACCACACAGTCCTGGATGCTGGAGGTTCATACAGGGTGGAAGGAAGGACAAAAGCTGATCCAGGGTGGAAGGAAAACGGCGAGACTCCAGTCAAGACACAGCGGTTGCAGAGTCTGCGGTGGTTGTGGTGTCTGCTGCACTGCTTGGAGTCCTCAGGAAGCGCTAGGAGCATCCGTCAACGGAGGGTACTCAGCCGGAGTACAAGGAGCTCCATTACAGGCAACATCATCAAGGAAGCATGGCCTCCTCCTCAAGTGGCCAATTCAAAGCTTCTTATTGTGTTCAATGCTTTCCTGTGATCTTCTGAGTCATGAGACCAAGTTTTTATATGTCAATGCAGTAGAAATGCTTTTTGTGCCTGTCAGGAAGGGTTTAAAAGGACTGTGTAACTGTACCAAGACCACTTCATTGAGATTAAGTGGTCTGGGTTTGTGTAGTGTCTGTTTGACAATATGTATGTGTGTTGCATGTAATGATGCAGAAACTATTCTCACGCTTTTAGAACGAAATTGATTTGGTTTTAGACGAAAGATTTCCATTAAGGAATTTGATGTGTTTTTCCCTGTTTCTCGGGCATGGCTTCATCCGTGACAAGATCATAAAGAACTACCCATTAAAAAAATCAGAAGGCATCAATGTGTGAAGCTAAGTAAAACTTGAAATGTGATTCCTCACTAAATATAGTAAATTCAAAAATAAGTAAATACCTAGAACATATGTTTTTCAATTCCAACAGCAATGTAATAGAAAGAAACAAAATAGTATGATATTATATATATTCTGCATGCATCAGTAATCTTCTGTGAGTATGAATGGCTGGGATAAGCATTGCATCCATATCAACTTTTATCTTGTTCCACCCATTTCAAACTGTTGCAAGTTGAAATCAAAGGATACCGAATTACATCCTATTAGCAAAATAATTTAAAGCAGACTGTTGTGTTAGTGAATAATTAGCTAATGGTAAATAAATGACAAACACACTAGTTAGGAGTTATAGTGATGAGAATATAGGATGAGGGGTATAGCAGTTATTATGAAAAAGGTTAATAATGTTGACAGTAACAGTTATCTCAATGTTATGCAGGGTTGAGATTCAGGCATGTTGGTAATTTGAACATTCCTTAAGACAGAGGTATGGAAATGCTGCTCTGTTTCCTATGTGGTTTCTTTTGACATGATGCTCCGGAGCATCGACGACCGCAATTGTGGCGAGAGTGGGGTGCTTTCATGTGACGTTTTTTACCTTTAAAAACAACAAAATATATATTACACGTCGAATCAGTGTGAAAGAAATTGTATAGGACTTTTGCCAAAGTTTGGTGACAATTATTAAGAAATTATTAAGAAATAAACATTATCACTTTTCTAAGTTGGCAATACTGCACTTGACGTCAACAAAACATATATTCAAAGGGTACCCACTTTGGACAGAGTGATAATTTGCTGACTTCAGCTCCTGATGAAGAAATTTTATCGAAGTCACTTGGAAGAAATATTTTGCTTAGAGAATGGTCAATTTACTCAAACTAAACAATAAATTTACTTAGCAAAGTGACCTTAATTGTCTCAAGATCTGCGGAATTTCAAGTGCCTAGCATAGTATATAAAATCCAGCAACCAAAAATAGACTTCTCATTGGTGATGATAGAATAAGTCATAGATAGATAGTAACATAATCAAACAAACATGACCAACATTTCAGCAATAATTCAAGTTATTAAATGTTACTGTTCAACATGTATATCTATCTATCTATCTATATATATATATATATATATATATATATATATAGAAACATAAACACACACACACACAAAAAAAAACACACATTCCATTGCTCTTTTAGCCTGCAAATAAGATAAAATCCTCAATGATGCCTTTCACTCTTTCTGCCCTAAGAAATAGCTGGACTTAAGGCAGTTATAAATCTAGAATAAAGTTCCAATAATCTTACGGTGTCCATGTTGGTGTGCAGGATTCACACAGATGTATCTTGTGGATCTCTTCTCATTGCGCATAAATCCTAGAGCATCTAAAAAAAGGCATAATTTTCAACCATTATCAATGCATAATTCATATAACACATCCAGTGAGTCTTCTTTTGAGGGCTTAATGTTCTACAATAATAATAAAAAAATCAACATACCAACATACACACAAGGTCATTACTTGATACTTCTAAACAATATTTAGTGAATTATTCATTTACATATTTTTCTTTCTTTTTGACCACCGTAGGTGCATGGTGAACTAAAATTTACTTGATTGGTATAACAACGCAGATATTTTAAATATACAGAAGTAGAAGTATAAGAATTTGTTTTTTCCTTTACTTTTCACTAAGCCTTAAACATGGTTAAACAATATAAAATAATGTTATATTTATTATGCTAAGAGTTCAATATACAAGTTATAGACACTTTGATCAATTCGTGTCTTATTCAAATTAATTTGACTATGAACCAATCTAATTTCATCCTTCTACACTTATGATTCTACCTTCATTTATATTCTTATAAGTCATCCATTGTAACATATTTTCATCAAGCACAAAATTGAATGTTTCTGTCATCTGCATAAAATAAGGAATATTAAAAATGAAAACAAAGTCATAAAGAGCTGCCTACTAAGAATAACAGGCATAAATGTTATTAAACAAGGTAACAAAAAGTGCAAACAGATCCAAATTTCCTGCCCATCCTTGTGGGCATATTGTAGGGCAGGGGAACAACGATGTAGTCTATTATCATATCATCTTCCTTACCTATAGTTAGGTACCTACTCCTTACATATCATCTTCCTTACCTATAGTTCTGCTTTTTCTCGACAGACCTTGAGTATCTCTCTTCTCTGTTAGATGGAAAAACAAACATATTATAGAATTGGAAAATTCTGTATAACTGTATAATACAGATGTTTTTTTACACCACTCCATATTCCATTTTTTCTGTATTTCACATTGATCTTTCCTTGCAGCCTCTGGATAATGTTAAAGGGACTCAGAAACGGAACAGTGGATATAGTCATCAATTTATATGTATGGGGTATATATTAATTCTCAGGTAACTGGAAATACATTATGGGATTTCTCGCTCTGGTAGGCACTTTTTAGCCTTATCACTTATTTTTCTCATTTTGTTTATTTCATATAGAAGTATTTTATATTGTATTAATAAAGGTTTACATAGTATTATTAGTGGCATTGGTGTGCATGTTTTTGTTTAAACATTGTTTATAAAAACTGAAAGTGAAAATAACTTAAGACCAATAAAAGCCATAGCAAATACATCAACAAAAACTCCACCGTACAGGAAATATGACGAAAGAAGCAGTCAGAATCAGCCTAAGCATTCCAAATACTGTATACTTCTGTATGCTTTCTTGAAACATCTTGAAAAACTACACAATATATGAAATGCTAACATATTTTTTTTATAAAGGAAAATCTGTGTAGCTGTAACAGCTTTTAACATATTGATGATCCAAGAAAAAAATAATTGCCACTTTGGAGTCAAGAATTATTGTTTTTTTCTCTTGTGAACATAATTGGGAATAATTACATGTTGGATTTTTGCCTTAAAAATGTTACTCCAAACACCATGTAAACTTTAGTAACCTGAAGTGGTCATTGTGTATGGAGTCTGTATGTGCAGTGTTTCGCTATGAAACTCTGCACATACAGAATTTAACCCCTGTGCTGCCTGAGGTGTAACTCTACCTCTGACACCTGTCTTTGGGGCATCAGCTGACACTCTCAGTCAATGAGTGGAGACTATATTGGCTTATGCAGCTCTGCAGAAGCTGGAACAGTGTCACCTGACAAGTAAGGAGAACCACTGCTAAACAGTTTGCCCCATTACCAGGGAACTGGACCAGGGTACTCCTGATGTTCAGAGAAACCCTTTAGGAATATAAAGTAGATACAGGTAAGTGGTAGGTTGAATTTGGTTGATTTATTTGTTCAATTTATATAATTATGTAACTATGAGGAGCACAAGATCACTGTCCAAATGTAGAACAATCAATGCTACAAATTATGACTTATTAGTACTATTGGTGACATACAAGTTTTACACACATACACACACACACACACACAAACACATGCACATGCATTTGTGTGTGTATATAAAACGTATATGTTTATATATTAAACATAGGTGCATTCATGCACTCTATGCATCCAAGCAACAAATATAGTTATGGCAGCCAAAGTATACCATTAATGTTTGTGCTAATCTTTTAATTGTTATGATTGTGATTAATGGGAAAGTAAAACCTCAAAAAGATATGGGTTTGTGCATGTAGCAATAGTTTGAATATCTGTTATATTAATCTTCCCTAACAATTAAACAAATAGGGCTGGATTATTTTGGCAGAATAAGGGTTTACTCCCTCACTCCCTCCCTCCAATAGCCTTCAGCAGAGGAATTTCTATTCAATGAGCAGAGTAAACTCTTAGAGAATCCAGTCGTTAGTCTGGACATGTACTCCAAAGGAAAATAAACCACACAGATCTTGGCAAAGAATTAAGAGTACCTCTGGGGGACAACACGGTCTAATCTTTTACTAATCCATAATGGTTAAATTGAGACAATTTGGAAGGTTTACAAGTAATTACTTGTAGTGACGTTTTGCTCATGGACATCTTTTACAGATATAAATTTAAAAAAAGTATCAATACAATGATTAATTAATTATCACTGTTCAATTTGCTGCAATTAAACATGGTTCCAATGCCCATAGAGCTACTTTGTGATGTAATTATGTTTATCTCAATTCCACTTTCACTATCTTATCCATCCTAGATTTATAAATGTCTACCATTCCTGCTTAGTAATAGAATTCTGAGTTACCTGCATCACTGTGTTCTTGTGGTGTCCAGCAGTGGAACAGAGCAAAGAACGCAATCAGCAGAAAAACTGTGATCAACCTCATCTTCACGGAAGCTAAGGTGTAGCAGGAGGAAAGACTGACGGTTACCCCTAACTGACTGTTATATCACCCTTGCTTTGTTCTTACATTGGCTGCAGAATCTTACAGGGACGGGCCTGAACAACAAGTTTAGACAGATTATTTTTAAGTATCCCTAACTTTAACCCTCTCACAGCTATCATTGTCTGCAAAAAGTGGATTGCGTACTTGTTGGGCATAACTTGTCTGTCTTTTTAATCATGTATTATTTGTTTGAGTATAAAGAAAGTATTCAAAGAATTTTACGTTGTGATAAGTTTGGAGAAACAGGTTCTAGGTTTGCTTTCCAAATCAAAGCATATCAAAAGAGAATTTTCTTTTTTTCATAAAATCATAAATTCATTGATTGCACAAATTCCTTCTGTCAAAGTGCCTAAAAGTGATTTGGCTGGCTGATCACTGTGGTGTGTGTAGTGCAGAACAGCTGGGTTTGACTTTTTAACACATAATAAATCTAATCCTGGCTTCATCCTAAAGTCAAACATATACAGATATCAATGCTGTCTAAGGGGACTATTTACTTATTGCGTAGCTAAATTAAAAAAGCTTTGAGATCTTGATTTTTCTTAATGACTATTATTTCGAAAAATATTAAAGCTGCACGGTCCATCGCTCCCTTCCCTGAAAAATTTGTATTTCTTAAAGATAGAATCTTTATGAAATACTCATTTTGATTGTGTTGGAAATTAACTGAAATTCCAACCCGGTCAAAAGAATTACAGAGACAGAGTAGGAACTACCCCTCCACCTTACATTCCTAGACTCAAGGCGGAGTCAAAGAGTCAATCCCAACAGCCATCACCATTGATAGGAATTGGCTGTGTCTATGGAGGAGCCTGCAGTCTCATAGGATTCTCCATAGGCCTCAATGCTGCACTCTCGTGCATTGCACTCTCTTGGCCTCTGAAGTTGAAGAGAAACAGTGCAAGCAAGATGGTGGTGCCTGTGAGGGACAGGTTCAGATAAGTAAATTTAACCTTACCTGCCCTGTGTGGCCTCTGGACTACAAGAAGTGATGTCACTGGCAGCAGATTCTTACAGTTTTATTGTCAGTGAGAAATTTCAGGAATTTAAATTGGATTCAAATCGAAAATTTAAAACCAAGGCAACAAAACTGAAAAAACATCTCCAAATCAGATACACTTCCATTTTGGTTCATTTGACCTAACATTTGAAATACATTTTGAATTAATTTTGAATTTCCAACAATTCTCACTCACTAACGCTGTCAGTCATCATAACTTAGAGGTCAAACTTGCCATGCGATTTACTTATCATGTTATTTAATATGTGAAAATAATTATAAGAGTTTAATAAATTAATATAAACTGTCATTGTTTGTATTTATTTATACAGGGCAGTGGGGATACCTGTGAGTTATCTGCCTACATAAATCATGTCCTGACTCAAGGGAATACTTGAATAAAGTATAGTGTTTACGCAATCTATTTCATGTTACACAATCTATTTCATTAGTTGATAATTCACCTAAAAAATATAGGGATAAAGTAATGAGTTTATTACTGAACATAAGCGTAGCCAGGCTCAATGGAAAATCCATCCAGATATATTAGACACACATGCATAGAAACTAATATAAACAAGGACAGTAGAAATTATGGTCAGGAAATATGGCGGTCACACATGTCTATAAATTAGCAGGGTGAAACACAGAAAAAGACTAGGCACCAAGTAAAAACTTAAATACTAAATACTGTAGGCACTGTCACTGATTGATCTAATTGAAGTGGTTATAGATTTTGTCCCCTTTCACTGTCCTTCTGTATTAAACCAGTAGCCCATCCCCTCTGTTCTGCTCAAGCTAATGAGAAACTATGAGCTTGAGCAGCAATGGATGATGGTTATTGACTGAGAGTGTCAGGTGACCACTTTCAGCCTATCAAAGTCAGCACTGCTGTTATGAATTGGAATGACTAAGGAAGAGTGCAATAATTCTAATTGTTTGCCTGTAGTATCTAAGTCATTCTCAAAGAACAGACAAAAAAAAAAAAAAATCTTTGTATGATAACATACAATCCTTTGTAATCCTCCCTTACTTAGTTTTTTTTTTTTTTTTTTTGTGAGTCAAATATATAAAATACACTTTATCAAAGATGGGCCCCTTTTTTATTCCTGTTATTATTTGGAATCTTATTTAACAATGGCATTGCATTCATATTCATGTAATATCTTGCATATGTGAATTGCCTGAAAGAACAGGGAACAAACAGCCTCTATTTATAATATCAAATGCAAACATTGCTAAGTAAGATACTTATCGTGATGAGAGGATGGCATGAGGGGATTTCCAAAACAAAAAAGTGACCAAGAATATCAGAGATTACCTGCTATTAAAGTGCATTTCCTGTTAATGGGAAGGGGGAACCACACTTTCAGTGATGGAGGGGGCATGGAACATCAGTGTGAAAGGTGATTTTTGATATTACGCACTTCAGTAATATTTAAAAGGCCTGACTGACTAAGTGTAGATTTGAACACAATGATTTTTAAGAATAAGCAATAAGTAGATTTAGTAGATAAATTGATAAATGTCTTTATAACCCCTGACATTCTGCCAACAATGGGGATTATTCTAGCCTTGTGATCAAACAATATACATTTTATTGAAGACAGGGGTGACAGAGGTGCAGCCCCCTTCCAGCAGCAAATAAACTTTTAACATAGAGGAGCAAAAACAACCAATCAGCATTAAGATGGGAATATAAAACCCCCAACAAGATCATTCTACTTTGGTGAGGCCTGTAGGAGAGGGACCTTCTAGCAAAGAACCAAGCAGGATATCAAACACAGAAGAACAAGAACCACCGGAAACAGCCCAGGTCCAAGTTAAACTGAAAAGAAAGAAGAAACTAATTAAAGTAAACTGCAGATAATATGCAATCAGCTTTAGAACAACAAACAATTAATCAAATTAACAGCTATCAAGATTAAAACATAAACAATCAAACCAATTTCTCAATAAAATGCAAAGATAACAAACCCATAAGACACAAATATACCAAAACAGCCATATATAAATAAGAAAAACACGGGAGAGAGATGGAGGAAAAAAAAATCTTTAATACAATGTATATGATTTGTACACCAAGGCTAGAATAATCCCAATTTTACAACAAGACAGAAAACGTCATATTTTTTAATTTAATACTGTAAAAATAAAGCAAAAGAAGCATGAGAGCAAGGCCGAAAATAGAATTTCCAAAGTGTCAACTTACGAGACCAATCAGCCACAGTCAAGATGTTGTAAGAAGAACCACTTGATTCCAGAGCCTTCTGACCGATCTAGCACCAACAAAATGTTCCAAACCAACCAGAGGCAGAATCCAACAAACCGAAAGCACAACCATAAGAGAAAAAACTGGTTAAAAAGGGCGCACTTACAAAATCAATAGTTAGCCCCTAGTAAATGAGCGAATAGAAGATATAACACCAATAAAACATCCTAAACAATGAGCCATGCAAAGGTGAGGTTTATCCGGAAAATACGGATAAAACACTGTTGAAGTGCGGGACTTCCTAAAGAGAAGACAGTGAAGGAAACACTGGAGAAAATGAATGGCTATTAAAAGCCCTAGCATCAGATGCTCAGAGAAGGGAGACCAAAGAAAGAAGAACAGCTAACTTCGCAGAAAATTGTCATACATATAACAGGTCATTATCCAACTATTCTTCTAAAAAAGAGAGGGCTTTCAAAATATCCCCCAAAAAACAAGAATATCGAGACAGAGGTGGCCTAGCCAAATTAATCTCTTGGAGAATTTGGAACATAGTGAGATCCCTGCCAAAGACCCAGCCCTGCAGTGACCATGTGCTAATGAACTAGAGAGGATCGGTGCAAGACATCTTCAAAAATGAAAGAACCAGGGCTGAGCCTTTCAGAATGGAGCAATCAGCAGCACAATCATGCCCTGGAATGAATCATGGTGAATGAAGAAAACGCATAGGCCTCTGGCAGAGGGCAGCCCTACAGAAACACATCCCCACCAAACTGAGAGGATATGGGAGCCAGCTAAAGAACATGTTCATCTGGTGATACAATCTGGATGCTAGCAGGTCCAGTTGGAAAGAGTCCCGTAAAAGATTCAGGAGATGAAAGATTTCTTTGTGGAGCTTCCAATCACTTGCATCCCTCTTAAGAAGAGAAATCCAGTCCACCACAAGGCTGTATCATCCCAGGATATATTCAGCCTTTATGGAAAGGTATGGAAAAATGTACAAGGGGTGTATGGCACTCCAGATAAATTATAATCCAAGTGCAGCCTAAAAACACTGCAAGTGCATTTTCACCAAGTACACTTAACACAAATCAACTATAGTACCGCAAAAAAGTGTCAAATCATACACTGTGATTAAAATCAGTTTTTTATTCCAATATGTATTAAAAGAACAGTGTAAAGAACAGTGTAAAAACAGAACAATGCATTTTGACCTAGTGCAGGTCTTCCTCAAGGGGAAAACTACTCTAACGGTAACAGACAGGCTATATATCACACTAAAACAAACAATAATAATTACATTCAGGTGTAACAACTGATTAAACCATGTGTAGTATCCATATATGGTCCGGACCGGATGTAGATCGCCACCCTCAACATGGCGACCCATCCAGTTTCAGCCATATACAGAAACAGGATGCCCCAACCAAGATGGCCATGCATCAAATCACATGATGTGGCTATATCCAATGGGTGTTCCATGGCGTCCATCATGTATGAGGGCGGTCCTCCTATCAACTCCGGCCCACACTCGTTGATCGATGCACAGAACATGCGCGTCTCAATGTAGCAAGTCTATAATGCAGACAGACTACAAATATGGCCGTTCACATGTTTCCCAAAATTCAAATTCGCCAGTTGATAATCCAATCAGGAGCATGGGACATTCGTTCCCATAGTATATACATAAATATTAGGCATCCATAATCCACATAATGAAGGAGTCACCATGTTAGATGTGGGCAAAGAAAAATAATTACAAAAATAATAATAAATATTGTCAAAAATAACAATAAAATACAAACTCATCATCCTTACATAGATCAAAAACAAAATTCATATACGTATATTAAAAGAATCAATCAATATTTAAAAATAT